ACCTTTTGAAAATCGGTTGAGTTTTGACCGAGTTATGGGGGTGGGAAATATTGACCTATGTCTATATAGGATATTTGGGGGTATCATTTTGACATGAATTTCGACCAAAAATTATGTTGACAGATTTTGATGCAGAATTGATCTAGAGGCCAAACCATGAATAAAAAGCCAAACCTTTTGAAAATCGGTTGAGTTTTGACCGAGTTATGGGGGTGGGAAATATTGACCTATGTCTATATAGGATATTTGGGGATACCATTTTAACATGATTTTTGACCAAAAGTTATGTTGACAGATTTTGATGCAGAATTGATCTAGAGGCCAAACCATGAATAAAAAGCCAAACCTTTTGAAAATCGGTTGAGTTTTGACCGAGTTATGGGGGTGGGAAATATTGACCTATGTCTATATAGGATATTTGGGGGTATCATTTTGACATGAATTTCGACCAAAAATTATGTTGACAGATTTTGATGCAGAATTGATCTAGAGGCCAAACCATGAATAAAAAGCCAAACCTTTTGAAAATCGGTTGAGTTTTGACCGAGATATGGGGGTGGGAAATATTGACCTATGTCTATATAGGATATTTGGGGGTACCATTTTGACATGAATTTCGACCAAAAATTATGTTGACAGATTTTGATGCAGAATTGATCTAGAGGCCAAACCATGAATAAAAAGCCAAACCTTTTGAAAATCGGTTGAGTTTTGACCGAGATATGGGGGTGGGAAATATTGACCTATGTCTATATAGGATATTTGGGGGTACCATTTTGACATGAATTTCGACCAAAAATTATGTTGACAGATTTTGATGCAGAATTGATCTAGATGCCAAACCATGAATAAAAAGCCAAACCTTTTGAAAATCGGTTGAGTTTTGACCGAGTTATGGGGGTGGGAAATATTGACCTATGTCTATATAGGATATTTGGGGGTATCATTTTAACATGAATTTCGACCAAAAATTATGTTGACAGATTTTGATGCAGAATTGATCTAGAGGCCAAACCATGAATAAAAAGCCAAACCTTTTGAAAATCGGTTGAGTTTTGACCGAGTTATGGGGGTGGGAAATATTGACCTATGTCTATATAGGATATTTGGGGGTACCATTTTGACATGAATTTCGACCAAAAATTATGTTGACAGATTTTGATGCAGAATTGATCTAGAGGCCAAACCATGAATAAAAAGCCAAACCTTTTGAAAATCGGTTGAGTTTTGACCGAGTTATGGGGGTGGGAAATATTGACCTATGTCTATATAGGATATTTGGGGGTATCATTTTGACATGAATTTCGACCAAAAATTATGTTGACAGATTTTGATGCAGAATTGATCTAGAGGCCAAACCATGAATAAAAAGCCAAACCTTTTGAAAATCGGTTGAGTTTTGACCGAGTTATGGGGGTGGGAAATATTGACCTATGTCTATATAGGATATTTGGGGGTATCATTTTAACATGAATTTCGACCAAAAATGATGTTGACAGATTTTGATGCAGAATTGATCTAGAGGCCAAACCATGAATAAAAAGCCAAACCTTTTGAAAATCGGTTGAGTTTTGACCGAGATATGGGGGTGGGAAATATTGACCTATGTCTATATAGGATATTTGGGGGTACCATTTTGACATGAATTTCGACCAAAAATTATGTTGACAGATTTTGATGCAGAATTGATCTAGAGGCCAAACCATGAATAAAAAGCCAAACCTTTTGAAAATCGGTTGAGTTTTGACCGAGATATGGGGGTGGGAAATATTGACCTATGTCTATATAGGATATTTGGGGATACCATTTAAACATGATTTTTGACCAAAAATTATGTTGACAGATTTTGATGCAGAATTGATCTAGAGGCCAAACCATGAATAAAAAGCCAAACCTTTTGAAAATCGTTTGAGTTTTGACCGAGATATGGGGGTGGGAAATATTGACCTATGTCTATATAGGATATTTGGGGGTACCATTTTAACATGATTTTTGACCAAAAATTATGTTGACAGATTTTGATGCAGAATTGATCTAGAGGCCAAACCATGAATAAAAAGCCAAACCTTTTGAAAATCGGTTGAGTTTTGACCTTGTTATGGGGGTGGGAAATATTGACCTATGTCTATATAAGATATTTGGGGGTATCATTTTAACATGAATTTCGACCAAAAATTATGTTGACAGATTTTGATGCAGAATTGATCTAGAGGCCAAACCATGAATAAAAAGCCAAACCTTTTGAAAATCGGTTGAGTTTTGACCTTGTTATGGGGGTGGGAAATATTGACCTATGTCTATATAAGATATTTGGGGGTATCATTTTGACATGAATTTCGACCAAAAATTATGTTGACAGATTTTGATGCAGAATTGATCTAGAGGCCAAACCATGAATAAAAAGCCAAACCTTTTGAAAATCGGTTGAGTTTTGACCGAGTTATGGGGGTGGGAAATATTGACCTATGTCTATATAGGATATTTGGGGGTATCATTTTGACATGAATTTCGACCAAAAATTATGTTGACAGATTTTGATGCAGAATTGATCTAGAGGCCAAACCATGAATAAAAAGCCAAACCTTTTGAAAATCGGTTGAGTTTTGACCGAGATATGGGGGTGGGAAATATTGACCTATGTCTATATAGGATATTTGGGGGTACCATTTTGACATGAATTTCGACCAAAAATTATGTTGACAGATTTTGATGCAGAATTGATCTAGAGGCCAAACCATGAATAAAAAGCCAAACCTTTTGAAAATCGGTTGAGTTTTGACCGAGATATGGGGGTGGGAAATATTGACCTATGTCTATATAGGATATTTGGGGGTACCATTTTGACATGAATTTCGACCAAAAATTATGTTGACAGATTTTGATGCAGAATTGATCTAGAGGCCAAACCATGAATAAAAAGCCAAACCTTTTGAAAATCGGCTGAGTTTTGACCGAGATATGGGGGTGGGAAATATTGACCTATGTCTATATAGGATATTTGGGGGTACCATTTTGACATGAATTTCGACCAAAAATTATGTTGACAGATTTTGATGCAGAATTGATCTAGAGGCCAAACCATGAATAAAAAGCCAAACCTTTTGAAAATCGGTTGAGTTTTGACCGAGATATGGGGGTGGGAAATATTGACCTATGTCTATATAGGATATTTGGGGGTACCATTTTGACATGAATTTCGACCAAAAATTATGTTGACAGATTTTGATGCAGAATTGATCTAGAGGCCAAACCATGAATAAAAAGCCAAACCTTTTGAAAATCGGTTGAGTTTTGACCGAGTTATGGGGGTGGGAAATATTGACCTATGTCTATATAGGATATTTGGGGGTATCATTTTGACATGAATTTCGACCAAAAATTATGTTGACAGATTTTGATGCAGAATTGATCTAGAGGCCAAACCATGAATAAAAAGCCAAACCTTTTGAAAATCGGTTGAGTTTTGACCGAGATATGGGGGTGGGAAATATTGACCTATGTCTATATAGGATATTTGGGGGTACCATTTTGACATGAATTTCGACCAAAAATTATGTTGACAGATTTTGATGCAGAATTGATCTAGAGGCCAAACCATGAATAAAAAGCCAAACCTTTTGAAAATCGGTTGAGTTTTGACCGAGATATGGGGGTGGGAAATATTGACCTATGTCTATATAGGATATTTGGGGATACCATTTAAACATGATTTTTGACCAAAAATTATGTTGACAGATTTTGATGCAGAATTGATCTAGAGGCCAAACCATGAATAAAGAGCCAAACCTTTTGAAAATCGGTTGAGTTTTGACCGAGATATGGGGGTGGGAAATATTGACCTATGTCTATATAGGATATTTGGGGGTACCATTTTAACATGATTTTTGACCAAAAATTATGTTGACAGATTTTGATGCAGAATTGATCTAGAGGCCAAACCATGAATAAAAAGCCAAACCTTTTGAAAATCGGTTGAGTTTTGACCTTGTTATGGGGGTGGGAAATATTGACCTATGTCTATATAAGATATTTGGGGGTATCATTTTGACATGAATTTCGACCAAAAATTATGTTGACAGATTTTGATGCAGAATTGATCTAGAGGCCAAACCATGAATAAAAAGCCAAACCTTTTGAAAATCGGTTGAGTTTTGACCGAGATATGGGGGTGGGAAATATTGACCTATGTCTATAGGATATTTGGGGATACCATTTTAACATGATTTTTGACCAAAAATTATGTTGACAGATTTTGATGCAGAATTGATCTAGAGGCCAAACCATGAATAAAAAGCCAAACCTTTTGAAAATCGGTTGAGTTTTGACCTTGTTATGGGGGTGGGAAATATTGACCTATGTCTATATAGGATATTTGGGGGTATCATTTTGACATGAATTTCGACCAAAAATTATGTTGACAGATTTTGATGCAGAATTGATCTAGAGGCCAAACCATGAATAAAAAGCCAAACCTTTTGAAAATCGGTTGAGTTTTGACCGAGTTATGGGGGTGGGAAATATTGACCTATGTCTATATAGGATATTTTAGGGTACCATTTTAACATGAATTTCGACCAAAAATAATGTTGACAGATTTTGATGCAGAATTGATCTAGAGGCCAAACCATGAATAAAAAGCCAAACCTTTTGAAAATCGGTTGAGTTTTGACCGAGATATGGGGGTGGGAAATATTGACCTATGTCTATATAGGATATTTGGGGGTACCATTTTGACATGAATTTTGACCAAAAATAATGTTGTCAATTATCCTGACGGACTGTGCTATTGTAGTTTTTGCTAAAACGGGAATCAATTAAAATTATGGAGGATCGTTTTGTTGCATAAATTATAATTACATCTGCCTCCGGAGTGCCCCTTAATTTTTTTTATTTCAAAAGGAAAATGCCTTTTGTAGTCTTCAAATTGTATACACAAGTGCGAAATATTAAGCGCAAAGTAATTTGAAAGCTCATATTTAAAAAAATTATGTCACTTACAGGTTTTAGCTCAAGAAATCGAACAAAATGATGAAGTTTGTGCAAATTCTCGTGTGCTACGGCCTGCTGCTGACCATGTTTTTTGCCCTGAACGAGGCGCGCCCCTCCACAGCCGAGGCGGGCGCTGTAAGTATCCATGCGGCACTCCAATTTCGACAGGAAACTAAGAGACATGTATCTGTATATATAAATTGCAGGATACGGATCCATTGGAGACACCAGACGTTGAGGATGTGCGCGCCGCCTACGCCGGCTACGAGATGCCCGCCCAGGCCATATATCCCAACATACCCATGGATCGGCTGCAGATGCTGTTCGCACAGTACAGGCCCACGTAAGTCTGAGTTAGCTGGGCATTATAATGCAGTATTATATTGAATTTCCTTCGGGATTACAAACTAGTTACAGCGCATATCTACGCACTCCCACCTACGGCAACATGAACGAGCTGTATCGCTCGCCCGAGAGCAAGCGCCAGGTGAGATACAGACAGTGCTACTTCAATCCCATCTCGTGCTTCAGGAAGTAAGTTTCTGGAGAGCCATTGAACAGCAAAACCAACTAACTTAAAGAGAACAAAACAAAAACAAAATAAATAACAGCCCTTTTGAAAAATTAACATTTCAAACACGTAAACATGAACTTGAAATATTATAAAACTAGCCCAATTCCAATGCCAATATTTAGTGCGTTTAACTAAAGCTAAGACTCAAAATTCTATTCAAATTGTTAAACAGCAACAACAACAACTAAATGCTTCACATAAATATATGCTACTTAATAATTATAATAATAAACTTTGCACATAAATGAGGTTTATGTTTTTGCACATGGTTTTCGTTTTCCTTTAAAAAACCTTTGCTTGCATATGGTGTGGTAAAATAATATACAATATATATATATATATATATTTGCATAAATTAACAAACGTATATTAACAATATTTGTGTAACGTTGAAATTTCCTTTTGTAAATTAAGTGTTTCAAGCTATTGTATAATACATATATACCATATACCATATATTGAAACCGAAAGGATAAATGAATAGAGTCACACACTTATATAACTATCTATGTAAAATATTAAAATATTAAAATATTAAACTATTAATAAAGTTATATATATTTAAAAGAAATGCATAATTTGAATGCATTTTTTAGTAAGACAAATTTGCTTGGAAATTTGGATCATAGTTGGAAATGGATCACAGTCTTAGAGTTGAATTTGAATATGTTAAAGAGTTGAGTTTTGAATGTGTTTGAGTATTAAATTTTTTAAAATATTTGATGACTAGCTTGAGGTCCGTTTTTCCTCAAGTTTTTCTGAATATAGTTCACAGTGGATCCTTGATTGAACATTTATTTGAAGAGCTCACAAAATTTACTGCTGTAGTATCTTAAATATACAATGATTCGTCGCCCTTTCTTTCGATCTTGAGTTTGGAATATTCTCGATTTAACTAACTTGAGTTTGGAATATTCTCGATTCAACTTATCTCTTTAAAGTGCTTGAGAAGTGATCAGATCAGATTCTGGACTCCCATATTCTGGACAAAGGCTTGGATTTGGGGTGAGTTTCAAGACACGTCTCCAACAGTTGAGTCCTTGCTGAATATGATTCACGACTGATCCCGGTTCGGACTATATATACTCTTAGTTAGTTAAGTAGTTAGTCAAAACTCAAAGTTTATTTAAAAGTAACTTTACAGCAAACACTTATCATCTAAATATTAAATGAAGTTCACAGTGGATCCCTGCTCGGGCGCCGTCTTCAACTGAGTTCGAATGGGGTTTCAAATATTGTATTGTGTGTGTGTGTTCTCCAAGAGTTTTCGATTAGATTAGAGACTATATTGATAAGGCTACGACTTATAGTTGAGCTATATCTTAGGATCTCAAGTCCGCCAAGAGTACTCAGCTTAGTTTAAAGCCTATATTAACTATGCAATAATATGATTTATGTAATACTAATACTAAATAACTTATAGTTAAGCTGATCCCTGTTCGGTTGCCGTCTTTAGCAGAGCTCAATAGGCTGCCAAATATGCTCTAAGAGTTTTCCTTAGTTCAGATCAAATTATTGACTTTATGCTACTGCGACTTATAGTTAAGCTGGGCTTTCCACTGAAGATCTCTGCTCGGGCGTCGACTAAAGATTTTGGGAAGGCAGCTTCTGGTCTTTGGCTCTCACCAGCCCAGGCGTCGTCGCTGCAGCTGTTGGCGCTTAACTTTGTCGCCGCGTCGCTTCATTTGCAGCACCAGGCGATCAGGTGTTGAGATCTTGTAGTTGCCATTACGGCCCAAACGCTCCGCGATGCGCAACGAGGTGGCCATCATAAAGATGGAGAACACGAGCGCAATTAGATACCGTACGACGAGCATGTTGCCAAATGCGATGCCTCACGGAATGGACTGCCTACCCAGCATATAGGAGTGCCGGCTTTTATAGCCTGAGCCGGGTAAGGAGCTGGCTTAAGGAGCAGGTAGCTCAATGAGACGGGATTAGCTGCGCTTTGTTTGTGAAAGATGTGCACAGTTTATGAGCTCTGGACTTTTCGGCAGCGTATCATGTCAATAAAATACGCTAATCCATTGGCCAATTTCCACTTCCTGCGCACTCGACTATGTCTAATAATTGCGACTATCATCAGTTGCTTCTGATGATGCTCAGCCAGGCAGCCAGGGAGCAACTGCAGCTCATCAGCAGCAGACGTTGCAACAGTTGCACAGTTCCAAGAAGCCGCAGCTCGACCCTGTCTGGATTTTTATGATGCCACAACGCATTTAACCATTAGACATTTTAATTGTTAATTTTGCAAAAATTTAAATAATGGACTGCGCTGCAGGCAGATCTGCTTGGCAGAGCGCTACCTGCATTTATTATCTGGCCCAGCCACCCTCCGCACCGCCCCGCCCCGCCCCGTTCGGCTGCTGCATTTGCTCTCGACTCAAGTGCCATCAACGTAAAAACAAGTGGCAACAATTTTCTATAAATTGCATTTGCGCAAAATTAAGTTCAATCTTGGCCAGCGAGCAGCTCCAGCTCCAAGTCGCAGGTCCAGTTCAGTTGAGCTCAGCTCCGGTAGCCGCATCCGCTGCACACCTCGTCGCTGCTGGAGTAGCCAAACTCCATTAACTTTGCAATTGGCCACCATAACTTTTAGCCGGGCTCCAAAGCGACGCGCGCTCGTTTGCCTGGTCACCTCAGAGAGAGAGGTGGGAAAGAAAGGGGTGGGGGGAGGGGGGGGGGGGAGACCGCGCATCGCTTGTTAGTTTTTGCGCCAGATCGTTTATAATAATTCGTATGCGAGTCATGTCATGGCCCCTAAAGTGTATCTGCGACTGCGCAGTCGACTTGGCAAACACGACGCGCATATCTGTATCTACAAGTTACCTGGCTGCCTTACTGCCTGCCTGGCTGGTTGGCTGGTTGGCCTGGCCTCTTGGCTCTGATCTGGTCAACTATGCAACCGCAGCGTCTGTGGCAGCCACCGCCCGTTGCATGTGGCCTGCCTCTGACTTGGCTGATCTTGCGCCCATTTTTGCGCGCATTGCTTTGGGTCGCCACCGTTCGATGCCAGCTCCTCGCCAGCAACATCTGCACACCCTCTCCCCCCTCCAACCCTCTCTGCAGCTGCCTTAACCACTTTATGCGCTGGTTTCGCGTTCTATTGGCCAAAAGGAAGTTAGAAAAATGCTCTGAATTCATGTGGGCACTGGCGCTGGCATTCGGCTGCAGCTGATTGCTGATCGCATTGCCCGGCGGTGGAAAGTTTGTTGTGCACTTGAAAGTATTGCCTCGGCCTATAGAAGTTAGTTAGTTTTACTAACTAAACCAAACTAGGCAGAGCTCAAGCCTAAATATGCTCAGCTATAGCTAAGCACTTGTGGACTATAGATTTGATAGTTAAATAAACTCAAGGGCTTCATCCTATGTTTGAAATTATTTTATTTTATTTATTAATTTCTTATTCTATACACATAGTCTTTGACTGAATTATCTTAGATACATATGTCAATTTGGTCTATAAGTTGAAAAAAAGAAAGGTTTCGCTTTACCAATCTCACCAATTTTCCACACTTTGGAGTGGAATTTTGAACAGTTTTCCGAGCTACAACAAAACAAAAACTAGATATTACGATTTTTTTTATCAATCAGTCAACTGATTGATCAAGCACAGCATAGACTCGTATATATAAGTATGTATAATATAGAATTGCTTATCATAGAAGACTGTTTGCTTTACTGTTATCGATACCTGTTATCGATTTTGCCTGCATACGTTTATCGACTATACGAATTATTTAACATTTTACCTATACTTATTTATCAAAACTGTTATCGATTTTACTTATAACAATTCAAGCGAGATCCGAAGAGAATTTTTAGTATATTATTAATATTATTTGCTGAGCAGTTATCGATTTTTACAATTCGATCAAAATTGGTAAAGAATTTAAAGCATATGATAGAAATTAATCGATTATGTTTGCTTTATTATTGTCGGAATTGTAATCGATTTATGACAATTCAATCGAAATTGGGCAAGTACTAGGGGCTTTTTTACTATCTAAGCGAAACTAATTTGATTACTTGCCTTAACTGTTATCGATCTTAGCTAGCTCCAATCACATTCCTATTATGGCTTGCATTTTCTTTGTGTTTTTTTTTGTTGCTGCTGCAGCGACGACTTTCTATAAATGTTGCCGCTGCCGCTAACCGCGCCCTTCTCTGCGATTTTCAAATCAAATATTGCTGGTAATCGAAAACTTGACACTGCGATTATTATTTTTTTTCTGTTTTTTTTTTTTTTTTTTGGGTGCAGGTTCAAAGATTGCTGTTGCCCACGAGTCGCCACAAAAGGGCAGCAGTAAGAAATATGAAATTCCAGCAGCTGCGGGACACCTGAGGTGGTCAAGGCGGGGCCAACAGCGATTGCCAGCTAACCGGTAGTTGTTGTTGTTGCCTCTTGTTGTTGTTGTTATTGTTGTTAGTAGTTGGTGGTTGTAGACTTTGGCGGCGTCGTCTTCGCGGTCGTCGTCACCATGTCGTCGCTCTGGACATTGCCAGCAATGTTGCTCTTATTTCAGAACATGAACAACAGCAGCAGCAGCAGCAGCAGCAGCAACAGTAGCAACAACAAGTCGTACGGGTCGCAAGAATGCCTTAATTCAGGAATTTAATGAAAAATGCTCTATGAAGCGGAGCAGCAAATTAAAAAAGGAAAAACTTTTGCACAGAAGCAGCAACAGTCGCAGCAGCAGCAACAGCAGCAGCAGCAGCAACGGCAGCAAAAAGGTTAAAATTAAAATCAAGGCAGCAACATCATCTGAGAACTTGGGCTGCCGGGCAAACACTCTTGATGGCTTTTTGCGCACAACAAACTGACAGTGTGAGATCGCTGGCAGGTGAGCTGAAACGGTTCTCCAGTTGACCAGTTGCCAAGTTGTTGCTGCTGCTGCTGCTGCGGCGACTGTTGCTGTTGCGCGTTGTAAATTACATTTTCCAAATGCTTTTGCCATGTCGTACCAAAAACCCATGTACATATGTGGAATCAGGCCGAACTCCTGGCTGCCACTGCCTCTGCCCCTGGCTCTTGGCTTCCGTTTTGATTTGGAACACTTGTTGCTGCTGTTGCAAGTTGCTGCTGCCTGTTGCTGCTGCCTGTTGCTGTTGCTGCTGTTGCCTTGCTTTAGGATTTGTCATGAGGCATGAAAATTCCTTGGGGATGTGTACACACACAATGTACACACATTTTGCTGCTGCTCTTTGGCTTCTGTTTTGCTGCTGTTGCTGTTGTTGTTGTTGTTGTTGTTGTTGTTGCTGGCGTTGCAGGGAGTTTGTGATTATGTTGTTGTAGTTTGTACAGATTGTTGTTGATTTGAGTGTTGATTGTTGTTGCAACATAATGCGGTAGGTGGGCAAAGGCCTTCCTCTTTGATTAAACCGAATGAATTATGTGCGTGTGCATTTTCTCTGCCCCCGTGTGTGTGAGTGTGTGTGCCTCTGTGTGTGTGTGTTAAGTTGGAAATGGTTTTAGACAGTGGGTATTATTGGATTTGCTTGTGTTTGCAACAGGCGCCAAGTAGATTATGGCTTACAGCTGGTTTAGTTGCATTTCTTTGACCCTGGTCAGACAACCCGCTTAAACAAATCTAACCTAACCTCACTTTCCAACCTAACCTCACTTTCTAACCTAACCTAACTTTCACTTAAACAAATTACATTAACAACATATTTAAGTATCTAATATGTGCCCTTACTTCGGGAAAAATGTGGAAGACTTTATCTTTGTGCTGCAAACCAGAAAATAAAATGTCGCTGGTTCGGTTCGCGCTTCGAAATAAAGCCGCGTCTCTAGAAAGAATCTTAAAGTTCGTTTTGTTTGCACTTAAATCAAAACTGATTCAAAGTTTGCTTTTTACATTTCTTAAGCTTATTTTTATTTTTTAATTTTCAAAAGCCCTGTGTACTGAAAATATCGCAAATTCTCAATATTTTCATATACAATAAGTGGGCGAGATTTGAGCCCTACCCAAAATTGGCATCTGCCAAATATGGTTAGATAAAGCCAATAATTGGGTCCAAAGTTATTTATACTTTGGGGCTGGGCATTTCTACAAATATCAACTATTTCAAAGCAAGCCAAGACGATAAAATATGAACTTGGTTTTCTTGCTTTGAATATTATTTAAATTCTAAATAATTGATTTACTTAATTTTTCATGTTTGTCCTCAAGTATATATGTTTTATTATCCTTCGTCGATCTTTGCAGATGTCTTTATTCTTTATATTTTACTGTCATAGGAACGGTTCGTCAATATGGAGACCATTTTTATAAAAAAATTAGATAAGTTTTGGAAGCTTGGTAATATTTTCTATATATAAACGAAAACCTTATTGACATCGGACCACCATATCATATAGCTGCTATAGAAAAAAACGGTGAAAAAGTAGGATCTTTTATTCTGTTTTCAAGGGTATTCAATTTTCGGCTTGCCGAAGATATACTTTCTTTCGCGTTAAATGAAAATTGATTAGATAAGCTAATTATTATGGGGAAATATTCATATTTGAGAAAGAAGAAACCCAGCTCAATATTGTATTGTAAGAATTTTATTTATATTTCATATAAAAAGAGAAAGGAAAACCTAAAGCTATGTCACATTCCTGATAGTTTTACAACTTAAGTGTTAGGCCAAAGCTCGAGCTCTGAACTTTGAACTGCGGCTAAAACAGGGTCTCCGGCTCGATGATCTCGTAGGTGGACATGGGCAGGGGCAGCACCTCGTTGCTGTAGTAGTTGCCGCCGCCGGGCGATATGGCCAGCTCGGGATAGACGGAGGAGCCGGGCAACTGGTAGAAGCGTCGCAGGAACGAGTTGCGCCACAGCTGGCCAGAATTATAGAAGGCGCGTCGCTGCTTGTAGAAGGCGCCTCCGACAACAGGCGAGGCTGAGATTTGCTGCATCATATCGTTATTCATGTACTCCTCGTTGGCCGTTTCCTGGGAGCTCACCTCGTTGAGGGCGGGGTTATCGCTGGGTCGGCCGAGCACGAAGCTGGCGAGGCACAGCAGCTGCAGCAGCACAGCAAAGGATCTGAAGCTGGACATCTTGACGGGTTGAGTGTGACGCAGCGAGTGTCTGTCCAAATGGCCGGTCGACAGGGCTTATATAGATGGACGGCAGGTAGAGACTGAGACACAGCCGAGCTGTGCGGGCGTTAAGCGATTTCTAATGATGCCATTTAGAGGATTAGGAGGCAGCTGCTTGTCGCAGACGCGGACTACCTGGCAGCTAGTTAGGCGGCCAGACAAAGTCACTTAAATGCAAATCCCCGAGCAGCCACAGTCAATATATCAAATGCGTTTCGCCCATTTACCATGTTAATCAAACAACGAAATCCATCAACAGGTGACACGGACGCGGCTGCAGGTGGAGGCCATGAAACGCAGCCAATCCCCCAGACATGTCAGTGCGATAATGGTGCGCCTCGTCTGAAAACAACTTCATTCACAAAAATCTGTAGAAAAAGAAAATGAAGCAGCCAAAGGAAGCGAGTCCCATTAAAAATATCTTGTGGATGCCAAAGAGCTAAAGATACATTCGACGACGACGACGACGAAGTCAGCTTGCAGGCTAGTTTGGAGGCGGGGGGGGGGGGGGGGGGGTGGGGTGGCATGCGAGGGGCGCAGTCAACAAGTCAGCTACTTGACTACTTGGCTACTTCTTGCCACAATACAGCAGCCGCGGGGGCGTCGCCAAGGGGCACAGAGGAGTCGGCCTGTGACTGGGACTGGGACTGGGCCCGGGCTAGCTTGGATAACGCTTGCCAACATACGCCTAATGCCACAGACATCGACATCCGCCATTTAACTTCTTAACCCCCCAGCGGGATTTGTGTCTAAATTTATGCACAGCCATTTATTCAAGTTGCCGGCAAAACAGGCAAAGAAAACCAAACGAAATGAAAACGTGAAAAATGCGTGGAAAATAAATTTTAAAATAAATTTATTATAAAAGTTGTTCAAAAATGGTCAGTAAATATATAGTATAATATAAATATATAAAGACATCTCGATTAAAATTGTTTAATATGACAATGTCCTTTAATATATCTGATAATCATAGCAGAAAGAGTTATACATATGTATATATATATAGATATAACAAATGAACTAGTTCCATTACCAGGGCTTACAAAAAATCAGGAACAAACATAAAAGCTTGACACTAGTTCGCGCCACGCATCACTTTTTGCTGTCCATTGTAGGGTTAAGCTGTATTCGTCTAGGCTGCTGCGCAGTCGTGTCTGGCTGCCTACAGCAGCCGCAGTCGCAGTCGCAGTCGCAGCAGCAGCAGCAGCGCTCGGCGTTGTCTTGTCCGGTCTGCAGCTCGGCTTGGTCAGCAGTCGGCTCGATTATTGGACGTCCAGCTTTCAATTTGCAACATAAAGCATCTTCATCGTGGGCCGCATGAATGGTCACAGTCAGGGGGGGGGGGGGGGGCATGCTGGAGCAGGTGGGGCGTGGGCTGACTAGCTGCCTGGCTGCCTGCCTGCCCATCACACTGCATTGGCATTGGCAGCAGGCACTCAGGCGTGCCGTGGCGGTAGTCGCTGACCTTTATTGATTGCTGTTTGACCTCGGCAGCAATTGTTGTTGTTGTTGCTGTTGCTGCCGTTGCATCTGCAGCCATTTGTACTTGGCCGATCGCAGGCGTAGATTATACAGCAGCAGCAGCAGCAACAACAACGACGCCCACAAGCAACGGCAACGTTGACGTTGACCGCGACTGCGACTGCGACAGCGGCGTTTTGCAGTTGCAGTTTTGCCGTTTTGCTTTCTGCCTTTTTGCGCAACCTTCATTGTTGCTTTGTCGCTATTGTTGTTGTTGTTCCATTACTTCGCTCATGGCAGTTAATTTATATTCGATGCCATCTCTCGCTCTCTCTCTCTCTCTCTCTGTCGCTTTTTGCTGCTGCTTCCTTTTGATGTGTTTAGCTTAAGGTCGTCTCTAACTGACAGCAGCAGCAGCGCAGCAGCAGCGCAGCGGCAGCTTCGTCATTGACGCCTCTTCTTGTACTTCAGCTCCACTTGCATTGCATGCAAAGCAAAGCGTGTCAAAAGAAAACAATGAAGAGCACAAGAAATCACAGCACACTTTCAGCATTGGCGTATCGTGTAGTTTGTTTTGTTTGACAGTTTTCATCTGCCCCCCGGTGATATTAGCAGCGGCAGACGCCGTCGTTTTGGCTTATTAATTGTTTTCGTTTTTTTGTTGGAGAGTAAGAGACGGAAAATTAATTAGCAGATTATCGTCTAGATTTTTGTGTGTGGTAAGAAGAGAACTTATAGCTTATGTTATATATTTGAAAGGATCTCTATACATATGTACTTATTACTATTTATATGTAAACTCACACACACACACACATGGACACTGTAAATCTCCTAAGAGTCCTATGCGTAAACTCTCCCATCCATCTCCCACCCCTAACTAACCGTAATTTGGGCTGCAACTCCAGTTAATCAATTTCAATTTTCCCTTAATTGAAAAGAAATCAAAATTCTTTTAAGATCGAGCACAACCCAAGCGCATAATCATTATAATTAATAATTATAATAACAGTTGATCGTTACACAGAGCAAACAACCTGCTACATTAAAATGTACAATTGCTCTTTACCCTTTACACACGCACTCTTAAAACGACGCTCTTACGCCCATTGGCACGATATTCATTCATATAAAATACTCAGCGCGCACACACACACACGCAGACACGGACACACATGAATGCTCCACGAAGTGCATTGGGCACACGAGCCGAACCCGGCACGGCCTCCACACAGCAGAGTTGGAGACAGAGCCGCCGCGATCGGCAGCGAGCAGCCGTCAGTTATATTTGCGACGCTCTCGAGTGCGGGTCGTTAACGGTTGTGGCGAAGTGGCGAAGGCAAATAGGAAAAGAAGAAAATAAAACAATACAAAAAGTAAAAATAAACAAACAAACAGTAATAATAAACGTAATTTAAACAATTAATCAAAACGCGGCGATCAATGAAACTTATACAAAAGCAACAACAGCAGCAACAAGTGCCAGTGAAATTATTGTACTTAATTTATATGTACAAATAGTGAGAGTGTGTGTGTGTCAGTGTATATGTGTAGATTTTTATGCATACATGTGTATGTGTGAGTGCGGCTTTATCAATTGCTCCACATAAAATTTCATTGAAGTGTTTGACAGCAGCAGCGCAGCAGCTACATAAAACTAACGGCAACATCGGCAGCACAGGCGACGTCTGCTTAAAACGGTAATTAATACAAACACACATTTGATTTGGCAATAAACAAATGATTCAGCAATTGTCAGCAACTGTAAATTGTAAAACACTTGCTGCGCTCGCCGCTCTGATTGAACTGCGTTAGCGTCGGCGTCGCAGTCGCCGCCGCTGTCGCCGTCACCATCGTCAGCGTTGGCGGTGACAAAGCTTTTGCTCGAACGCATGTTTGCAATTAGTCTGCGTTATTATTGTTTGCTGCCGGCGTTAACGCCGACGGTGGCAGCGTCGACGTTGTCGCTGTTACAAAGTAGCACGCGCATAGACATAGAAAAAAAATTTATTAAATGCTTGCGCGTGCTCTCTCTCTTTAACTTACGCTCCCCCGCAGTCAAGTCAAGTAAGAGCTTGCGTGCTCTCTTGTATGTGTATGCGTGCTTGTGTGTGTGCACATATTTTGTTACGTGTTTGCCTTTACGCCTTTTACATACCCTTCACATTATTATTTGCCATTTTGTCGCTTTCATTAATTGGCCCGTGTAAAACGGCAACGCCGACGGCGACGGCGGCTACCTGACACGGCAGCTTTTGTTACTGCTATCAGAAAGCACAGTAACAACATCGCTGCCGCCGCTCTTGAGTGCCACTCACCCTCTCTCGCTCTCTCTCTCTCTCTCGCACTCTTTTACACACTTGTTGCTTTCGCATTGTTTTTACTGTTTTTAAGTGGCGCTCATATCCGGCGCTTGCTTTGCCTGATAAGCGCACTTCTCTCCCTCTTCTCTTTGTTGTTTTTGTGTGCGCTACCTGTCTGCATTTTATTTGCACATTTCTTGTCTGACTTTTCTTTTTTTTTTGTTTTGCTGTTGTTTTATTTTGTGCATTTGCTTTTGGCTCTGGCTTTGTTCTGGCCAAGTGAATCAGTTCTCAGGGCGCCTAATGCGCAACTGTTTTGTTCTTCCTCCCAAATTGTTCATAAAGTGTGCGTGTGTGTGCGTGTGTGTGAATGTGTCTGTGTCTGCCTGCATGTGTGCGTAATGTGTGTTGGCTTTAGCAAAACATTTTTCACTTGTTTTACAGTTTTCAAGTGGTGCACGAAACGCTGACAACGCAATTGGCACTTTAACAGTGCCAGGACGAAAGCTTCATATTAACCGTTAGGCGCTGTAAGTTCGAAAAAGTGAGGTTATTAACGTTTCCGCGCATATTCCGTCGCGATTTGGCAATAAGAAGGTGAATCTCTTGAAAAACTTGAGAATTTGATGGCAAATGTGCTATTCCTTGATTTTCAACAAGAAGTAAATAAAAAGAGATGCTTTTCTACGAATTATAAGTTATTAATATTAAAGTAAAGTTTACGAATGAAGCTTTTAGTCAAAGGGAGTGCCTAAAAGCTATTGGAATATAATTATGTATTCATATTTTATCTAAAAAGTTGCCTTTGCTTCTATTCTATATATAGCTTCATTTCTTTCTTTCACTTCGTCAACTAATTTCAATATTCTTTAAAGCAATATGGAAATATTCCATGCAAATTTTTCAACACTTTCGGCCCATCAATCTTCACAGATTTTAATCGCGACGCCTAAGCTCAAGTCGTATATTCATTCATAAATAACATTAAAAAAAAAAAGCGTAGACAAAAGATATAATAATATTTATATATCTAAATAAATATGTTTATTTTATATACATTTTTTATAACATTTAAATTATGCACACATCAACACGTTTCGCCTATAAACTCTAAAAAAGTTGTATAAATATATAAGACTTTGTTTAGGCATTCAAATCAACTGATGGACTTTAAAATACCCTTTAAAAGTGTTCAAGATATTTTGAAATATTACAACTTAATGTGCTGAAAAAATAAAAAAATGCAATTTTGTTGCTTTAATAAATGATTTTGAGCTTGAACTTGAATTTATATAATACATTTTTATTCTAATTTTATTATTTTTTAATTTTAGCTACAGTTAATTTTATATTATAATTTTTGGTTTAACTTTGTCTATAAAAATGGAATTAAGTTCATTTCAAATATTTTAATTAATTTTATGTCAACATTTTCACAATTTCACTTCAAATTTTTTTAACGCTCTTTGAATATACCTTGCCACATACCCTTTGTAGTTGTATTACAGGGTATTCAGTCTTCATAAAAGCACGCATAAATAAATGTTAATATTTAGTTGGACATTTGACTCTTTGACATATTTAGTTTAAATTTGTTCTCATATTATATTGTAAAATCCATGAACTTTTTTCTAGTGAAAATTTTGCACCATTTCATATTCAAATTTTATAGTTTGTTTTTCGATATTTTTTTTTGT